GACCGAGTAGTTGAACCTGTGGGCTTGGGACCATAGTCGCAGGGGACATCAAGCTCAATTGGCATAACATACTATACAAAACATTGTTCCACCTCCTAATTTGGCGAGTAGCGACTGGGATCTTAAAAGCTAGCAAGCTGCCATCTAGATGCAATGACGGGTCTCTCCTCATCCAGAGCAAAGAAGAATGAAGGAAACCAATTCATGGAAACAATTAGTCCTAGTGACTGGTACACCATCCGATCTGCAGCCTATACGACTATGAGACCAGAAGAATTAGATGGTGCCCGGCTACTACTGTCATCCACTTGGAAGGGGATCTATGTAGGAGATCCTTGATAGTGAGGGAGAACAATGTGGAACAAAACTCAAAATCATTTGGAGGCAAAAAAAGGTGGGGGACCAGGTTTGCTGGTGGAAACACTGAGACTTTGGCCCCTAACTTCACGTCTGGAATTGAACCCACACCTTGGTTTCCAGCCAAAGAAAAGACAGCATTATGAGTTGAACATTTACCTCAAGTAGACACTCTCATTGGAGAGAACAATCATGGGAGAAAGAAGGGCTGTTTATGCACAGGGAGACAGCTCAGGGGGCAGGAGTACATGGAGGGATGGACACAGGGAAGAGGTAACTATGGGGAGGAAGTGGGAGTGGAGCTGTTTTATTGTGGTAAACTGTGGTCAATGTCATGAGATAAAGTGTATGTGAACTGCTGTATGGAAAGTGAATTTGCTCTGTAAATCTTCACCCAAATCACAATCAATCAATCAATCAATCAATCAATGTCATGCCAGGTTAGATTGTGCATTTGAGAAAGGTATCGAAATTCCTTAATGTTGGTGGTGGGGTTGTGAGAAAAGGAACCCAGACGTTTCTCAATCTGGGATAAGTAGGTGAGGGAAAAGGGAACATGGACATGGACGACACCCTCAAAGCCAGTTACTTCACACAGGGGGCAGAGAAGGGTTTGTTGAGACTGGGTGTGACTGCTTACTGGGGAAGATAGGGAAGGTTTAAGGGACGTGGAGTCTGGGGATATTGGAGGAGGTGTTGAAGTGGGTGGTGGAGAGGGTGCAATGGGGTTAACTGGAGGTGGAAATGAAGGTGTATATCCTAAATAAGGGGGTGGTCTATGAGGTGGGGACAAAAGAGATTCACGTGGATTAGAAAAAGAGGAAGTTGGTTCAGGGGAATTGAGAGGAGTTAAAAAGTTTTTAGAGGGAGTTCAGACAGCAGTTTGGGAACTAGGAGAATTTGAGTGGTATTGTAAGTAGAGCAGAGAGGGAGAGAGAGAGAGAGAGAGAGAGAGAGAGAGAGAGAGAGAGAGAGAGAGAGAGAGAGAGAGAGAGAGAGAGAGAGAGCGAGCGAGAGAGAGAGAGAATGAGAGAGAGAAAGAGAGACAGGAGCACAGATGAAAGCAAGCTTGGACGTAGGGAACCTCCCAGGCCATTTGCCTGTGCAGTGGCAGAAATTATCACGATCAGTGAGGATATTAAAATTGTAAGTTCTTTGCTCAGGCCACTGAGAATTATTATCTAGTGGGTATTGGGGCCAAGCAGTAGTACAATAGGAAGTTAGGTGTTTCGAATATAAGTCCTGACCCAGCCCCAGTGTGCCAAGATTGAGTAAAAGACACCCCAGAGGAGTAGTAGTGTCTGGTTTAGAATTCTGGTTACCCATGATCCCTTAAGGGGATGGTGGGAAGGTTCTGTTAAAGGACCAGCATCTTAGTCACTTTGCCAGAACATTGGTAATGGAGACCGGAAGAATACAAGGGACATCTCCGCTAGTATTCCTTGGTCTGGAACTGCTATGCCATGGAAAGATAGGGAGTCCAAGGCATCCCCAGGATGTCTCTGTCTTTGGAATGGGAGTCTCTGACATGGGGCCCATGATTTTCGGAATGGAATGGACAGAGACTTTGGAAATGGAACCAGGACCTGGGATCAGGGTGGTGTTGGATGGTGGCAGGTGGAAGTTCCTGGTCCACAGAAAGAAGGAGGAAAGCGGGGTGGGGGGGCACCGCAGTTTGTCTCAGCAGAGATTAGTTGAGCTGCACTCCCTTCCTGGGTTTCGGCACCAAATGTAAGGTTGCGGGGAAGAAGAGAGGAGGCACAAAGAGTGGGATAAAGAAGAGTTTTATTCTGCGCTCCTGGGCGAGGTTCACGGGTCCCTGAGAGGGGGCCAGAGAAGTCGTGCTGCCCTGACCGGAGGGAGAAGTTTATATAGTTGCGTTTTCTCCCTCCCCAGAGGACCTGAGTGGAAGCAGAAGGAATAAGGCAGGAACCAATCAGGTGGAAGCACCTCATTAGCATAATATGGGGAAATAGTTGGGGACTTTCTATAGCCGTTAAGGGAGGGGGGAAGGCCTGTGCTGGTTTCAGGAACAAAGGGCTATCTGCATCCGGGTTCAACATGGGCTGCGGTTAGGTTATTTCCTGATTGGCCAGTTTGTAATTTCTTCTTGCATGGTTGGTCAGTTTGTAATTTCTTCTTGCTCAATCCTTTACCCACATGACTTGCCGTGTTCCCACCTGACATTTATAACTTTTAATATTTAGGCAAGTGATATGAAGGCCTCTATTGTATTCTTGCCCTAGACTTGCAAATATGAGGGGAAGGTTGAGTGATATGCTTTAATTTTATATTCTCAATCTTTGAGTGTTCCGTATCTCTTACTAATAATTTGTCACATCTTTCATATAAGTAAATGAAATTAATGACAGAAAAGAAACCAAACAAATGAAGAATAAGTGACTAAAGAAATCTATATTTTCTTTTTTATGTTCTGTGGGCTTTGGAATATGGTTATCTTTCTTCTGGAAGCTGTTTCCCCATGGCAACAATGATTAAAGTTGATACTATGTGTAGAGCCCTCTTATAAACACTTTATATGCATTAACTAATCTAATCATAGCAATGACATAGGTAAGTCCTACAGGAATGGTGTTAGCTGTGGATTGGACTGCTGTGATCTTTAGGGTTATTAGTAGTTGATTTTTGGAAGTAGATCACCAGGCCTTTCTTTCTACTTTGTGGTATAATATCATAGCGAGACATAAGCCTCCACTGACAGACTGGTGGTGGCTACACATGAGGTACATTGGCCAGGAATAGAACCTAGGCGTGCTGCATGTTGTCGTTGATGTTAGGTGATGCCTACTGGGTTCTGATTTACAGCAGCCAGAAATAAAACAGAATGAAACACTGCCTAGTCATGCACCATTCTCACAACAATTGTTGTTGTTTGAGCCTATTGTTGCAGCCACTGTGTCAATCCATCGTGTTAAGGATATTCCCCTTTTTTTTGCTGATCCTCTACTTTACTAAGCGTGATGTCCTTTTCTAGGAACTTATCCCTCCTGATAACATGTCCAAAGTATGTGAGACAAAATCTCACCATCCTCCCTTCCAAGGGGCATTCTGGCTGTACTTCTTCCAAACAGACTTGTTTGTTCTTCTGGAAGTCCATGGTGTATTCAATATTCTTCACCAGAACCATAATATGAAGGCATCAATTCTTCTTCAGTCTTCCTTATTCATTCATTGTCCATCTTTTGCATGCATATGAACAACAAAATGCAACGCACTGCTTTCAAGTCATATCTGATTCATAGCGACCCTTCCTTGGGTTTCCCAGGTGGTATCACTATGGAAGTAGATTGCCCAACCTTCCTTCCAAGGAGTGTCTGGTAGGTTTGAACCGCCAGCCTTCTGGTTAGCAGTCATGTGCCTTAGGCACTACGCTACCAGAGCTCCAGCACATTTATTATTTTAGTTTTATTTCTTTTGTGGCGCTTTGTTTTGTTTTTTAGTGCCGGCAGGAAAACAAGCATAGGCAGGAAAACAAGCATAGCCAGTAAATCCTGGGAAGAAAGGTGAGGAGGCCGGAACGAGGCACAGAATTCATCTTATAAAATTAATACAGTTTGAGGACAAAGAGAAAAATGAAAAAGTGGCCACTCCACATTGTCTACCCAGGGGGATCAGGAACTGGTTTAAGACTGAAGACCATCAAGACAGGATTACCTTGAAAGGAGTGCCCCCATCCTCGCCCTGGGACAGGGGTGTGATCTTTGCTCCGTGACCTGTGAAGCAGACACCAGGTTCAATCGCCCAAGGCCGAGGGCTCGGTCCCGCTCCGCCCCGCTTCGCCCCGCCCATCATGGCGTCTCCGTCCCTCTGCGCCTAGGCCTCCGTCCCTCTGCGTCTAGGCCTCCGACCCCGCCCATCCACGATGCACCGCTCCGCCCCCCGTACGTATCCCATCCAGCTCCTGAAAGTCCCGGCCCTCCGCTCCGCCCCCTACACTACCGCTGGGCCCTGGGTTTACCCGCGGTGCATGGTGGGGCCGTCGCCTTGGACAACCCGGGTTCAGTCGCGGTCGGTAGGCCACACAGAGTGAGCGCGGCGGCAGTAGCTGCAGCATGCGCCGGACTTCCGCGTCGTCCGCGCCCCTCCCAAGCCCCGACTACTACGAGAGGCTGGGTATCCTCCAGCATGGGCTGCGGGACAGGTATGGCCAATCCGGGTGGCGAACAACCTCCTTAGGTGCTGAGAGTGTTCTGGGTGCCCTCTCCCCTGTTCCTTCCCACTCGCCCCAGCCGTGGTGCCCCTGCTTCTGAGTCTGCCTGAGATGCATTGGAGAGAGGTAAGAGTCACCGCCCCACCCCCCCGTCTCCCTTATCAGCAACCATTGAATCCCTCCTCCCCCTTAAGGATGCGGCTGTGTCACTGAATTTGCTCAGAAGTAAGAGCTGAAGTTCTCCTGCCTGTCACTCTCAATCAAACCTTGTGAATATTTCTAGTTCCCTTCTACACGCCCCCTTCCCCAGTCTCTTCAAATTGTCATCCCACCTGACAGCTGCACTGCATCAATGATGACATCCAGGAATGCAGGTGGGAGTGTGTGTGTGTGTTTGCACAAACATATGCCCTATTTAAATGCAGGAAGGATTTCAGGAGAGTGAGAAGATAGGGCTGGGGATGAAATTTCCAGTGGAAAAAGTCCAGCATCCAGAGAATTCATGATACCTTTGATTATGACATGAAAAATAAAAAAAATCATTGAAAACAGCTAGATCTAAGAATACATAAAGAAGAAAATTATAAAGTAATTTACTCTAAAGAACCACTTAAAAAATAAGTTGTTGGAACTCTTATTTAGGTGCCAAATTAATTGGAGTTGGAAATCTCATTAGTTGGCAAAGAAAGAAATAGATTTTTAGGTCTTTTGATAAACAGAACACTAGCGTAACTTGACTGCTAACCAGAAGGCTGGTGCCCACCAGCCACTCCTGGGAAGGAAGGTTGGGCAGTCTACTTTCATAGTGATGTTGTTGTTATTATGTGCCGTGGAGTAGGCCCCGACTCATAGCGACCCCTCCTTGGGTTGCCGGCCCCGTATCACTATGGAAGTAGATTGCCCAACCTTCCTTTGGAGGAGTGGTTGGTGGGTTGGAATCGCCAGCCTTCTGTTTAGCAGTCAAGTGCCTTAGGCACTATGCTACCAGAGCTCCTGCCTCAGAAACCCAAGGAGGGGTCACTATGGGTCGAATACGACTCCACACCAATGGTTGTGGATTTTTTTTTTTTTGCGGTTTTAATGGGTGTTAAAAGTTACAGAAGAATTATTCTGGTGGACAGTAGAACTATATGTGTGACATTTCTAAAATGTTGATAATTGCCTGTAAGGTAAAGGCATACGTAAGTGGTTCTGAAAAGGAATTATATTTATCTTTAAAAAAAACACAAAAACCCACCAAACCAAACTCACTGCTGTGGAGTTGGATCTGACTCGGTGACCCCTCCTTGGGTTTCCCAGGCGGTATCACTACAGAAGTAGATTGCCCCATCTTCCTTCTGAGGAGTGGCTGGTGGGTTTGAACTGACAGCTTCTGGTTAGCAGCCAAATGCCTTAGTCACTATGCTATCAGAGCTTCCAATATGCTAGATTAATATTTGTTAAATATTAATAGAGCATCTACAATAGGCCTCCTTAATCATTTTTTACTCCTTAGTCCTTTTTGACATGCTGTTTTCTCTCTGATATATTACCATGCCCTCTCCATGGCCTCTTCATCTCCTAATTGTAAAAAAATCATTCCTTCAGGCTTCCCTGCCCCAGGTGTTGATCACTCCCATTCCTTAACTGATGCAGCCTCAGTATTCTTGTACTCTTGCTTATGTGACCACTTAAGTGACTTGCTGTCTGCCTACATTGGGAATCCCAGGAGGATAGAAACCATATCTACCTGGATCTTTAGCTCTGAATAGACTACGTGAGGGAGGTGGTGCTTGATAAATGTTTGTTGAATGAGTGGAAGAAATCCCAAAGCCAGCTAGTGTCTAGGACTTATGACAGTCCCACAAGCAGTATATGAGTGTCCCAGTCTCTCCATATCCTTGCCAGCATTTGTTAATTTCTGTCTTGTTGAACTTTGCTACTAGTGCTGGGGCAAGATGGTATCTTATGGTATCTCATGGCATCTCTCATCGGATCTTGAGCATTTCTTCATATGTCTGTTGGCTGCCTGAATACCCTTTTTGGTGAAGTGTCTATTCATGTCTTCTGCCCCTTTTTTAATTGGATTATTTATCTTTTTGTTGTTGAGGTGTTAAGTTTTCTATAAATTCTAGAGGTAAGTCCCTTGTCAGATATGTCATTGCCGAATATTTTTTTCCCAATCTGTAGCTTCTTTTTTTTGACTCTTTTGGAGAACATTCTCGTCCCCATTTAATGGATTTCAGCTGTTTGTCAAAGATCAGCTGACCGTAGGTCGATGGATCTATTTCTGGGTTCTCAATTCTATTCCCCTGGTCTACGTGTCTGTCATTATACCAATACCAGACAGTTTTGACTATTGTGGCTGTATGGTAGGTTTTGAGATCAAGTGAAGTTCATTCTTACAGTTATTTAAAACCATTCCTTTAACAGGCCCATTAACCAGCACTAGTTGTTTCCAATGCCAGTGTTGATTCAGGGAATGATACCTTAATAGTCCAGAAATAATTGATACTGAGTTATTAGTTGAGTAAAACTGAAGATCATGGAGAATTGTGGTATTGAGATAAAAATAAAATGATGAGTTACTTAGAAAACTAAGCTATGTAGTTTGGGGACACCTATACCCCCTACTCACCAGCCCTGTGTAAAACTTCAAAAAGTCTAGGTGAGGTGACTGAAACCATGACACATGGTTAAGTATCCCAGGTCAAAGATTCTGAAATAAAGATTTATTATGTAGGGATTTCAAGGTGATCCTCCCAGTAAGCTTTTCTCTGGCTTTTTATTGGGATAAATACCTGATTTTAAGTCTTAAATTTAAAACAGATGTGAAGGACTTAGCTCACATAATGGATTTGAGGCTGATACTTTGTGGTGGCTTAACAGAGCCTATTGGGGTTTAGCCTCCAAAGGACTTTTTCTGGGACTATAGTGTCTTCTTGTTCAGCAATTTTACCCCACCTCCTGCCCTCTTGGTTTTGGCTTTTGCTGCCTACTTTGCTGACCAGTTGGTTGTCTTGTCTAGGTTGGGTATAGACCAAAACAGGCTTTCTCCTCTAGTTTACTTGCTAGCCCTCACCGAACTTTGCAGGCTGTTAAGTCATTACTGGTAGTACCTTCAGAGAAATGGCAATGACAAATAATGGCAACATTCTAGAGTTATAAAAAGAAATTCCCCCAGATTAACAATAATACTGCTAGGGAACCCTGTCTTTTTTTTCATTTTTTTTTTTTTTTTTTAAATTGTGATTTGGGTGAAGATTTACAGAGCAAATTCACTTTCCATACAGCAGTTCACGTATACTTTGTCTCATGTCATTGACCACAGTTTACCACAATGCAACAGCTCCCCTCCCACTTCCTCCCCATTGTTACCTCTTCCCAGTGTCCATCCCTCCATATACTCCTGCCCCCTGAGCTGTCTCCCTGTGGGTAAGCAGCCCTTTTTTCTCCCATGATTGTTCTTTCCAAAGAGTGTATCTACTTGAGGTAAATGTTTAACTCATATGCATGTCTTTTGTTTGGCTGGAAACCACAGGTGTGGGTTCAATTCCAGACCTGAAGGGCAGCTAGGGGCCATAGTCTCAGTGGTTCCGCCAAGCTCTATTGGACCAGCAAACCTGGTCCCGACCTTTTTTTTTTTTCTTTCTCCAAATGATTTTGAATTTTGTTCCACATTGTTCTCCCTCTCTATCAAGGATCTCCTACACAGATCCCATTCCAAGTGGATGACAGTGGTAGCCAGGCACCATCTAGTTCTTCTGGTCTCATAGTTATATAGGCTGCAGATCGGATGGTATACCAGTCACTAGGACTAATTGTTTCCATGAATTTTGGTTTTCTTCATTCTTATTTGCTCTGGACGAGGAGAGACCCATTGTTGCATCTAGATGGCAGCTTGCTAGCTTTTAAGATCCCAGTTGCTACTCACCAAAGTAGGAGGTGGAACAATGTTTTGTATAGTATGTTATGCCAATTGAGCTTGATGTCCCCTGCGACTATGGTCCCATGCCCGCAGGTTCAACTACTTGGTCCCTCTGGGTAGCTGGCTGTGACCAAGCAGTGACCACAACCTTGCCCCTTGTCTCTACTATACACCTGGGAATTCTGATCATTCACATAAACTTATAGGACCATTGTCTGCCAACCCTATATATGTTCTTGGATACACTCCCCATTTCATAGACATATCTCATCGTTTAGCCTGTCCACCCATCTATCCATCCATATACCCATGTTTGTCTTTACTGACAATGCAGTACTGTATGTGCAAAAGGGTTCATATTTGTTGTCTGTACCTCCCATGTACCTCTCTATGCCTTTCTCATCCTCAATGCTGCCATATTGGTCACTCCCGGTTGGTACATTGCCCTTCTCTTCACCCAAATCAATACTTATCTCTATCTATCTAACAGCGTTCCCTTCCCTCCCCTCCCACTCCTGGTAACCAACAAAGGAAATTTCCTTCTATAGATAAACCTTTCCTTAACTTTACAATAACGGACTAATACAATATTTGTTAGGGAATCCTGTCTTGATTAAATGTGAGACCAGATCAGCTTTTCAGAGGTATCTTCTTGGCTTAGTCACCAGACTGCCAAGGCTTGTCTGGTTGCAAATACAGCAAGCCACTGATCTTTAATCCAAGGCAGGTTTGCTGGAGCATTGCCTTCAGACTTTTAGGAATCCTCATCATTCAAATGTCACTGTGTTCAAGAAGTCTGGGGATGCTATTTTTTTTACCTTTAAACATATATTTTATATTTATTTTGTTTATTGTGTGTCCTCTACCTCTTCCCCCCAGTGTCAACTGCCTGAGGGCAGGGTCCTTGGCTTACTTGTTCAAGGCACTAGTCTTCAGGCCTCAAACTGTGCCTGGCTGATCATAGGCTGAAATATTTTCTGAATGAATGAATAAGCTTGTTTCCCAGCCTACTATATTTCTTTGTTTACTTTTAGAGTCTTGTCCTTTTTGCCTCCCATCAATGTCTATTTTCTTCCTAGATTTTCATGGTGACTGTCAGGTATTTGAGAGGAACTCTGGTGGTGAAGTGGTATCATACAGCTGCTAGCCAAAAGGTTAACAGTTTAAACCCACCAGCTGCTCCATGGGAGAAAGATGAGGCAGTCTGTTTCCATGAAGATTTATAGCCTTGGAAATCCTGTGGGGTGGTTCTGCTCTGTCATATAGCATAGTTATGATTCAGAATCAACTCCATGGCAGTGGGTTTGGTTTTGGTCACTTATTTCTGTGCTTTGAATTTCAAACACCACTGGTATTTTCTGCTTCTTAGAGATACTGCAGAAGCACTCTCACAAAGCTTGAGTTTGAAAGTACATCATGTTCTAAATTTGACTGCCTATAACTTGTGGGTATAATTATATATAAAATTTTTCTTTCTGTATTCAGTGAAAAGAAGAGATTGGACCTGGAAAGGAAACTTTGTGAATACAGTCAGTCTGAAGCATTCAGGTAAGAAATGACAGTGATGACAGTTTTTAAAACAGTTTGCATATGCCAACCAATAAAATCTGGTCTTGTGTTAGGCACCCTCAACTGAGTTCTGACTCATAGCTTGTACAACAGAGTGAAACACTGTCTGGTCTTATGGCATTCTTGCAGTCCTTGCTGTATTCAAGCCCACTGTTGTAGTCACTGTGTCAGTCTGTCTTGTTGAGGGTCTTCCTCTTTTTTCTCTACTTTTTCCTTTTTTTTCTACTCTACCAAATATGATGTCTTTCTCCAGAGATTGGTCCCATCTGACAACCTGCCCAAAGTATGTGAGAAGTTTCACCATGCTCACTTGTAAGGCGCATTCTGACTGTACTTCTCCCAAAACATTTGTTCTTCCTTCTGGCAGTCCATGGTATGTATATTTAAAATTTTTTGCCAGTACCATAGTTCAAATGCTTCTTTGGCCTTTCTTATTCATTATGCTGGTTTCGTATACATATACAGCAATTGAAAATACCATGCTTGGGTTAGGTACACCTTAGTCCTGAAGGTGACACCTTTGCTTTTAAAACTTCAAAGAGGTCTTTGGCAACAGATTTTCCCAGTGCAATACATTATTTGATTTTTTATCTGCTGCTTCTGTGGACATTCATTGTGGATCCAAGTAAAATGGAATCCTTGATAAATTAAACATTTTCTCTTTTCATCATGATATTACTTATTGGTCTAATTGTGAGGATTTTTGTTTTCTTTTCTTTATGTTGAGGTGTAATCCATATTGAAGGCTGTACTTTTTGATTATCATCAGTAGGTGGTTCAAGTCCTTTTCACTTTCATCATGCAAGGCTATGTCAACTACATGCCACAGGTCATTAATAATTCTCCCTCCAATCCTGAATCCTGCTGCTGCATTCTTCTTCATATAGTCCAGCTGCTCAGATTATTTGCTTAGCATACAGATTGAATATGTTTGATGAATATATATATAGCATCAGCACACCTTTCCTGATTTTAAACCATGCACGGTCCTTGTTTTGTTCAAACAACTGCTTCTTGGTCTATGCACTGGTTCCACATGAGCACAATTAAGTGTTCTGGAATTCCCATTCTTTGTAGTGCCGTCCATAGTTTCTTATGATTCACAAAGTCAAATGCCTTTGTGTTGTCAACACAACAAGGTAAACATCTTTCTGGTATTTTTTGCTTTCATCCAGCTCTGTCTGACATCAGCAATGATATTCCTTCTTCCATGTCCTCTTCTGAATCTGGCTTGAATTTCTGGCAGCTCCCTGTTTATGTGATGCTGTAACCAGTTTTGCGTTATCTTCAATGTAATTTTACTTGTGTGGGATATTAATGCTATTGTTTGATAATTTCCACATTCTTTTGGATCACCTTTCTTTGGAATGAACATACTTATGGGTGTCTTCCATTCAGTTGCGACATAGCTTTCTTCCAAGTTTCTTGGCATAAATGATTGAGCACTTCCAGCATTGCATCCATTTGTTGAAACGTCTTAGTGGGTATTCTGCCAATTCCTGGAGACTTGGTTTTTCACCAGTTCCTTCAGTGCAGCTTGGACTTCTTCCTTTGTTACTATTGGTTCTTGGCATATGCTACTTCCTGTAATAGTTGAACATAAACCATTTATTTTTGGTATGATGACTCTGTGTATTCTTTCCATCCTCTTTTGATGCTTCCTGCATTATTTAGTTTTTTGCCCATAGTATTCTTCATTATTGGAACTTGAGGCTTGAATTTTTCCTTCATTTCTTTTAGCTTGAGAAACGCTGAGAATGATCTTCCCTTTTGGTTTGCTAACTCCAGGTCTTTGCACTTTTCATTGTAATATTTTATCTTCTCTAGACACCCTTTGAAATCTTCTGTTTAGTTCTTTTACTTCATTTCTTCCATTTGCTTTAGCTAGTTTATATTCAAGAGCAAGTTTCAGAGTCTTTTCTGACATTCATTTTGGTCCTTTTTTTTTTTTTTTTCCTTTTCTGAATTTTTAGTAACTTTTTGCTTTCTTCATATATCATATCCTAGATGACAACTCATCTGGTCTTTGGTCATTAGTATTCAATGCATAAATTCTGTTCTTGAAATGGTCTCTGAATTCAAGGTGATACTTTGGTTCTTGTGGACTTTTACTTTTCCACAGCTTCAGCTTGAATTTATTTGTTATTGTTATATGCTGTGGAGTCAGCTGCGACTCATAGAGACCCCTCCCTTGGTTTCTGAGGCAATATCACTATAGAAGTAGATTGCCCGACCTTCAGCTTGAATTTACATAGGAGCAGTTGATCGTCTATTTTGTAGTTTGCCCCTGGCCTTGTTCCAACTGATGATATTGAGCTTTTCCCTCATCTCTTTCCACAGATGTTATTATTGTTGTTATGTGCCATTGAGTTGGACCTGACTTATAGCGACCCCTCCTTTGGTTTCCGAGGCAGTATCACTACGGAGGTAGATTGCCCCATCTTCCTTCCGAGGAGTGGCTGGTGGGTTTGAACCGCCAGCCTTCTGGTTAGCAGTCAAGTGCCTTAGGCACTATATTACCAGAGCTCCCTCCACAGATGTAGTCGATTTAATTCCTGTGTATTCCATCCTGTGAGGTCCACGTGTATAGTTGGCTGTTTGTGTTGCAAAATGTATTTCCAATGAATAAATTGTTAGTCTTGCAAAATTCTGTCATACAATCTCTGGCATTTCTATCACCAAGGGCTTTTTTTCCAACTACCAATGTTTCTTTTTTGTTTCCAACTTTTGCATTCCAATCTCCAGTAATTATTAGTGCATCTTGATTGCATGTTTGATTAATTTCAGACTGCAGAAGTTGATAAAAATCTTCAATTTCTTCATCTTTGGCATTAGTAGTTGGTGTGTAAATTTGAATAATAGTCATATTAACTTGCCTTCCTTGTAGGTGTTGGATATTATCCTATTACTGACAGTGTTATACCTCAGGATAGATCTTGAAATGTTCATTTGATGATGAATATTTAAACCTATGTTAAAAGGAGATTAGGTAGCACAAGTTGTTGCAATCTTCTGCTAACCTAACGATTGGCAATTTGAACCCACCTAGCAGCTACATGGAATAAAGACCTGGTGAACTGCTTTCATAAAGATTATAGCCAAGCAAACCTCATAAAAATTCTACTCTGTAACATATGGGTCCCCATGAATTAGAATCAACTTGATGGTAATGGGTTAATTTTATTTATAAATACCATATTTATAACATAAATAAATAAATTTTATTATTCTGTTATTTCTGGTGTACAATAATTTGATAAAAAATTCTGCAATTTAATATAATCACTATCAAATGTAAGAATAAATTTTGTTAAAATTAATAAAAAATGACCAAATACAAGGTGAAAATTATTTATTTTCATTATTTAGCATTTCTGTTATTTTAGAGCTCTATTTGGCTTAAATACCTTAAGAATAAGATGCATTGAGATCTTTTTTATCTTTTTAGTCACAATGTAAATACATTGAGCTTATATAATGTTAATGGTCTTTGAATGAACTACTATAGGCAGAATTTCCTGGTGTGGTAGTTAAGGTTGTGTGTCAATTCGGCTGGGCCTGGTTGAGTGGGTGGGCAGCTGGTGGTAGTTATGCCCCATGATGAGAGTGGCAGTCAGCTCTATGGTGGGATCTACCACAAGCAGCTGAGTAGCTGTTTTAGAGATGTGATCTGCTTCCCGTATATGAGCAGCAGCTTTGGGAATGGTCTCTAGCTTATGGCACCCTTGAACCCTGCAAGTAGCTGAGTCGTTGTTCAGCCTACCATGCTCTGGTAATCTTGGGACTTTCAGTAGACTTGCATCAGTGGCCTGCTGTGTGGTTTGGTAACATTGGGACTGTGCCTTTTTACTTGTCAACCTTGGGCTTGTCAGCCTCAGCAGCCAGCAGCTGACTGAGTGAAGAAAAGCCTCCAGCTTCAGTGGGCCAGAGCAGGAGGCAGAGCTGAAACCCAAGGTTGAGGGGCTTTCCCCCAGCCCCTAGAGCCTGGCACTTTGAATTAGGACTTAAAGCCTCCAAAGTGTGAGAGAATAAACTCCTATCCTAAGGGCATCCCATGTGTGGTATATTCTTGTCAGAGAAGCAGTAGGTAACCAGAACACCTGGTGTCTTACTTGTTCATATATGAGAATGACTGTTAAAATGACCATGAGCAGTGAATAACTACATGTTATCCTCTTTAGGCCACTTCTGAGTTAAGAGCAGACCTTCAATATTTTTAATCCTATTTTATATCAGTGTGGACTTTATTCTTAAGCCAAATATATGGTGTTATCTTCAAGTTCATGGCCATGATAGCATTGAGTTTATGATTTATCCATGTCCCAATAAGACTGAGAAATAAAAACATCTCACTCAGAAGAGAGAGAGGTCAAGAATATTTTTAAACCAAATAAGCCATCAGGTCTATTTATTTTTCCATCCTCAAAATTATCCTTTGATTTTAAAATATAGTGTACTTCCAAAGTTACCAGTCAAGGTAGACCATCATACATCATTAGCAGCTGTAGAAGAGACAAGTACCACTGAGGGAATGATGGATGCAATGGTCTCAAGAGTGGGTCCAAGTCTGAGGGGATCCATGCAGCCCATGGCTAGAGGGGCAGAAGATATGGGGTAGACTTTTCATGCAGCTTATTATTGGGTGTTATAGTGGAGAGGAGGTGTAAGAAGAGAATGGGAACCTTCAGCCCCTACTTCCAAGCTGTTGGTTTGCTGAGTTTGTTTTACTATCAGCCTCTTGTTTTCTGTAAGACAGAGAATGTGACTTGCTAAAATATGCTTTCTTAGACTGCGCATAGGATAAAATTTATGTGACCTAACATGGCTGACTCAGCCTGGTCCCCCACACTTCCAAAAAGGCAGAGTCTGAGACAAGGTCTTGTATGCAGGTAGTAGGTGTTTTTTTTTTTTTTTTTTAATAGGAAGTAGTCACAGAAAATAAGAAAGGAGGGCTGGGGAGAATGAAATAGGAGCCAGTTACTGCTGAGACCTTCAGGGGAGCCCTGTAGACTGCCCCTTTGCTCCTCAGAAGTGTCCCAAAGAGAAGGAAGAGGGGGTTATTTACATCCTGATTCTGAATCCCCTTGGTCATGGTGGCCCCAGGAGGTTAAATCCTTCTCACAGCAAAGCTGTCCATGCTGCAAACTAAGAAAAGTAGCCCTGGGAAAGCAAGATAATAGGTGCATCTGAGCGAGGCACTCTCAGGTTACTCTGAATGCAGCAGTGGCTGGTAGGAGAAAAATGTATGCCAGGAGGACATTAGGAGGATATAGGAGGTGCCCAGTATTGTACAGTGGCTACCATACCCTCCATTGTCTGCTCCCTGTTTATTTTTCATCCTTCATCACCTTCTCTTTCCAGACTGCTCCTAAAATTCTACACTGGCAGAAATTCCAGGTTCTTAAGCATGGTATTTCTTAGAGTAGTATACTGTAGTGGTTAAGCTCGTGCACTCTGTTGACAAGTACCTATAACTTATGAAAATAATTATCTGAGCTTCACCAACTCTTAGCTATATGGTCATGGGTCAGTTACTTCAACTTTCTATGCCTCTGCTTCATCTGTAAATTGGGGATAAAAGTGTCTGATTCAAAGTAAAATTCAGTACTTCATTACTATATTCATCAACTTCATTGTTGTTATTCTTATTTATTGCCTTTGGGCTTTCCAACGTGCATTCCCCCTGCCTGGAATGCTTTCCCTCATTTTTTCATTCTTGTTCTCCTTAATTTTGTGTTAACTATTTACCCATCCGTCTGGTCTCAGCAGAAAAGTTACTTCCACTGGGAAGGCCTCTTTGACCCCTCTTGATCAGGTTGCCTGGTACATAAGAGTCTCTAATATTTCCCTCAGAGCATTAATGACTCTTCATGATACTTATTTGTTTCTTCTGTTGACTCTTGCTGAGTTCCTGTCATGTTTGGAGCACTGAAAATAAGAATGATCAGATGAGTGATTTACTTATGTGGTCAGCTTTGAAGGCTAATAAGAGGACAGGAATGAAACTCCATTTCGATGGCGGATGCATGGTTGCTATTGTACCTACTGTTGTTGGAACAGCTTTTCCAGGTGCTTGAATGTGACAGTACATTAGGTTCTAAATCCTTTATTGTACCTCAAGTAAAAGATGGTAGGCACAAACAGCAGTAAAAGCAATGTTAAGTTTATTTTGTTCAGAAGGGAAAATGGGGACCACCAACCAAGTTCAAAACACAAAACTATTAGCACAATAAAGAATGTCTTGAAAATTACTGGGTTGGGGCAGAGGTTTAAAGTCTATTGTGATTGATTTGGGACAGCTCTACACTTTTGTAGATCTGTATTTTGAAGGTAGATATTTTTGTGGTTTCTAACTTATTTTTGCTTGATAGAGAATGTTGAATAATATGTTGAGCCAACAATAGAAATGCTACATTACCAAGTGCTCTCTTAAAATTCAGATGATTATGAAGAAGAAAGAGCTAGAATAAGCAGTGTGGTTCTAGAGAAGAGTGCACTATACAATGTGAGCTATTCAGTATGTCTTTTGATATTATACTTTGGATGCACATGGCCAAAGGTTGTTTCACAGTTTGAGTAGAATTTTAGTCCATCTGTTGCATGATAGAATTTTGGAAAACAAATGACTTATTCATTGCAGATATCTTTTTGCAACAACATAAATGGCTGCTATACACATGGACCTTGCTAGATGGAATACACAAGAATCAGATTGACTACTTCTATGGAAAGAGGTGATGGAGAAGCTCAAAATATTTGGTCAAAACAAAGCCAGGAGCTGACTGGAACAGACCATCAATTGTCTATATGCTAGTTCAAGTTGAAGCTAAAGAAAATTAAAACAAGTCCACGAGAGCCGAAATAGGACCTTGCTTACATCCCACCTGAATTTAGAGACCATCTGAAGAATAAATTTGATGCATTGAACAACAGTAACCAGTGACCAGACAAACTATGGGATGACATCAAGAACATCATCCATGAAGAAAGCGAAAGGTCATTGAAAAGACAAGAAAGGAAGAAAAAACCAAAATGGATGTTAGAAGAGACTCTGAAACTTGCTCTTACATACAGAGTAGCTAAAGCAAAAGGAAGAAATGATGAAATAAGAGAGCTGTATAACTCTAGCACTTTTGTAAATCTTTTGTTCAAGGAATGCTCCTTGAACAAAAGATTTCAAAGGGCAGCTCAAGAAGACAAAGAAAGGATTATAATGAAATGTGCAAAGACCTGGAGTTAGAAAACCAAAAGGGAAGAACATGCTCAGCATTTCTCAAGCTGAAAGAAATGAAGAAAAAATGTAAGCCTCAAGTTGCAGTATTGAAGGATTCTATGGGCAAAATATTGACTGCTGTAGGAAGCATCAAAAGAAGATGGAAGGATTATACAGAGTCATTGTACCAAAAGAATTGGTCGACATGAAGCCATTTCAAGATGTAGCATATGATCAAGAACTGATGGTATTGAAGGAAGAAGTCAAAGCTGCACTGAAGGAATTGTTGAAAAACAAGGCTCCAGGAATTGACAGACTATCCATTGAGATGTTTCAACAAATGCATGCAGCACTGGAGATGCATACCTGTTTATGCTAAGTTTTGGAAGACAGCTGCCTGGCCAACTGACAGTAAGAGATTGCTATTTGTGCCCATTCCAAAGAAAAGTGATCCAACAGAATGTGGAAATTATTGAAAAATATCATTAATATCATATGCAAATCAAATTTTGCTGAAGGTAATTAAAAAACAGTTGCAGTAGTATAATGACAGGGAACTTCCAGAAATTCAGGTTGGATTCAGAAGAGCATGAATAACGAGGGATATCATTGCTGATGTTAGATGAATCTTGGCTGAAAGCAGAGAATACCAGAAAGATGTTTACTTGTGTATTATTGACTATCTAAAGGCATTTAACTGTGTGGATCATAAAAAATTGTGGATCACATTGCAAAGAGTGGGGATTCCAGAACACTTAATTGTGCTCGTAAGGAACTACTACATAGACCAAGAGGTTACTGCATGGTTTAAAATCAGGAAGGGTGTGTGTCAGGGTTGTATATTTTCACCATAATTACTCAATCTGTATGCTGAACAAATAATCCAAAAAGCAGCATCAGGATTATAGAAAGAATCATTAATAACCTGTGGTATGCAGATGAGACAACCTTGTTTTCTGAAAGTGAAAATGACTTGAAGCACTTAATGAAGATGAAAGACTACAGTCTTTAGTATGGATTATATCATAACACAAAGAAAATATGAATCCTCACTGGAGCAATAAACAACATTACAATAAATGTCATGGATTTCATTTTACTTGGATCCACAATCAACACCCATGGAAACAGCAGTAAGGAAATCAGACATCATATTTCACTGGAAAAATCTGCTGCAAAAGACCTCTTTGAAGTGTTAAGAAGCAAAGATGTCACTTTGAAGACTAAGGTGCGCCTAACCCAAGCCATGGTATTTTCATTCCCCTCAAGCATGTGAAAGCTGGACAGTGAATAAGGAGGAACGAAGAAGAGTTGATACCTTTGAATTATGGTGTTGGTGAAAAATACGGAAAATACCATGAACTTCCAGAAGAAAGAACAAATCTGTCCTGGAAGAAGTACAACTGGAATGCTCCTTGAAAGTGAGAATGGCCAGACTTCATTTCACCTACTCTGGTCATGTTGTTAGGAGGGACCAGTCCCTGCAGAAGGATATCATGCTTGGTGAAGTACAAGGTCAGTGAAAAAGGGGAAGACCCTACAAGATGGATTGACACAGTCACTGCAACAGTGGGCTCAAGTATAGCAAGGATTGTGAGGCTGCCACAGGTCATTCTGTTGTACATACAGTTGCTATGAGTTGGAGCCATCTAGATAGCACCTAACATCAACACAACATTATTATAGTACATTTTAATAATACATTGTTTTAATTTTTAACAAATACTTTTTACTTCATCTAAATGAGGTTTTTCTGGTATGTTAAATTTCAAATTTTCTTAACATATACGAGTTGTAGTTTATAGTTCAAGTATGTCCGCGTGAGCAGGTTGTCTGCCCTACAAAAGAATGTTAATGAGCTATTCATCTGAACAAGGCCACATAGACCCTGCTCTTGAAATCAGATTTAATTTTGAGAAATAAATCCATGTAAACCTTTATTGTGTGAATGTTATAATGTGCTCTTACATACATTTCTTGGGAGAGTTATGCCCAGATATAGCCATATGATACTCTATTTATTTTCTCTCTCTATAAATGTGTATGTGTGTGCTTTGAAGTTCAATGTTTGGAGTAAAATATCTTAGAATACATTGTCTAAGGAACAATTTTGTTAAGGAGAATTCTTCTCAAGCTTGTCAAAGTCTAACTTCATTGTTTAATAATCTGCTTTTGTTTTTCTAGAGTTAAGCTGAAGTATGTAAAGTTAAAGAAATACCTGAAGGAAATACGTGAATCAGAAAAGGAGGCTATGACTCGAAACCAGGAATATTTAAAGCAATGTGAGCGTGTACAAGCTCATATTGGACACTTTACCACAAATACAGAGAAGCTTCAAGAACTAAAGGTGAATGTCTTGTTTTGTACTGTGCCTTTTTTGTTTTGTTACTAATATTAGAAGTAATGGGTGGGAAGTTTCAGATCGGGGCAGACACTAATGTTCATTTGTTAATACATAGGAATGACTATTCGTTTTGTCTGAATTGACATGTGGCTGAGTTTTGATCAGAAAAGTTGAAATTGCATTTTTCTAAGATTCCTACTTTAGTTGTATAATTAATAGACTATTTATAATTTATATTTATAATGTTACACTAATACTTAATACTGGTAAGATCACTAGCTAATACATGGCAAGTCTTTCCATAATTGCTGGCTGGATGATGGAATTTGAGAAGCACTAGGGTTCTCATAAGGAGCTCTGGTGGCCTAGGATAAGGGACTTAACTGCTAACTGGAAGGTCAGTGGTTCAAACTTAACCAGCTGCTCTGTGGAAGGAAGATGGGGCGATCTACTTCCTCAAAGATTACAGCTTCGGAGACCCAATGGGGGTCGCTGAGTCGGAAATGACTTGATGGCAGTGAGTTTGGTTTGGTTTTTGAGGGTTCTCACAGGAGCTCTGGTGGTGCAGTGCGTAAAGGCATTTGACTTCTAACCAGAAGGTTGGTGGTTCAAACCTACCAGCTGCTCCATGGAAGGTAGGTGGGGCAATCTATTATAAAGATTCACTGCCTTGAAAACCTGCTGGAGAGTGCTATGAGTTGGAATTGACTTGATGGCAGTGAGTTTACTTTTTGGAGGGTTCTCATAAGAGACTGCAGTTTTCCCCAGCCTTTGTTGTAAAAATTTTAAATACACAGAAAAATTAAAAGAATTCTTGTAACACTCATATACTCTCTACCTGGATGCAATAGTTGTAAATATTTTGCTATATTTGCACTCATGGGCACTCCTTTGCTCTTCTTAATCTGTGTGTTTTTCCTCAGTCATTAAAAGGATGTTATATATTGTGATACTTCACCCCTAAGTGCTTTAATGTCAATCTTCTAAGAATAAGGACAGTCTACTAATAATCATAATACTATTATCACATGTAAGAAAATTAGTAATGATACCATAATATCATTTAGTATACAGCAAAACAAAAAAAAAACAAACTCACTGCCGTCAAGTGGAATCTGACTCATAGCGACCCCTCCTTGGGTTTCCGCGGTGGTATCACTACAGAAGTATATTGCTCAGTCTTCCTTCTGAGGGGTGGTTGGTGGGTTTGAACTGCCAGCCTTCTGGTTAGCAGTCAGATACCTTAGGCACTATGCCACCAGAGCTCCTAATACATAGCAGTGATGGAAATATTTTTTACCTATGCTGTCTAATACGGTAGCCTCTAGTCATACATGGGTGTTGAGCAGTAAAAATGTAGCTTGTGACGCCAAGAACCAAATTTTTAATTTTGTTAATTAATTTAAATAGCCACCAGTGAGGTTCTATACTGTCCTACTGCAATGTCAAGTGGTATCACCTGTGTGAGGCTGAGCTGGTGATATCCAGAGCTCTCTATTCTATGGTATCATTTTCCCTTCTGTAAATTAGTGGGTAATCTATGCAGTGATAGTTTGACATCATGAGAATATCTTGTTCCTCAGTAACCTTTTATTTATTGGCTTTAGGATACATTAGTGAGCTTTGCTTGAATCAGTTATTATAGTCACTGGCACACTCATTGTCTCAAATCATTTCCAACTCATAGTGACCCCTCCTTGGGTTTCCGAGGTGGTATGGCTATGGAAGTAGATTGCCCATCCTTCCTTCCAAGGAGTGGAAGGCTTGAACCACCAGCCTTCTGGTTAGCAGTCAAATGTCTTAAGCACTGTGCTACCAGAGCTCCTGCTTTTATAGTAGAGGTTGTGAAATGACAATTTTCTAATTTTCTACATTTTTCAGTAGGTATTCTTCTATTAAAAATAGCTTCTTTCCCTGTCTCCAATCTTTTTCCCTTACCCTTTCTGTCTCTTTTAATATCAGTATAAGTTTATGAATTAGTATTTAGCCAGTATGTTATCAATTAAGGAGTTGTTTTGTTGTTGATACTGTCCAAAATTTGGCCAATGGGAGTCTCTTCATATCAGCTCCTGTGTCCTTTTGACATCATCCCATTGATTCAGTGCCTTCTTTGCTTTGGGGCACAGCAAGATATACTAGGTCTTTAACTTTCTCTGTCTCAGATATGGAATTAGCCTTTTATCCAAGGAGCTATGATTCCTTTTAGTTGGGAGAGGCATTTGGAAACCAGGATCTAGATGTGCTCAAGCAATAGCAGTGTTTTAAAAAAATACATAATTTTATTTATTTTGTTGTTGAGCATATGCACAGCAAAACATACACAAATTCAGCAGTTTTACATATACCGTTTTGTGACTTTGATTACCTTCTTCAAGTTGTGTAGCCCATTCTCACCCTCATTTTGTAAGTTGCTCCCCTCTCGTTAACATAAACTCAATGTTTTCTATCTAATCATTTGAGTTGTTGTTGTCAGTTTGATTCCATATAGATAGTTCTTAGAAGAGATCAGGGCACACAGTTTTTACTAGTTAAGCTAAACTGCTGCTTGTTTTAAGATGGCATAGGAATATTTTTGGTTTAAGGTTTAAAGATTGTCTCATGGCAATAGTTTCAGGGGTTCATCCAACCTTCATAGCTGTAGAAAGTCTGGAGTCCATGAGAATCTGAAAATTTTGTTACTTATTTTCTCCATTTTGATCATGATTCTTCACCTGGTTGGAAATAGTTCATTCATGGCTGATGGAAACAAGGGCAGTGTACCTGTTGCATAGCAGCCAAATCAGGTATATTGGTTTCAGGTGTACTTGATTTTCACCTGAGTAGGAAACAGGGAGTGGTGCCCTGCTCAAAGATGGCAGCCTATCGCATCAGTTTGAAGCATATTGGTTTCCCAATGTCTTTGAACAGGACATTGCTGTCTTTTTCCTACTTGAGTCAGAATTTAGTGCACAAGAGTTTGAGTTACCATGCAGTGCGTACATGTCTATTGTTTCTGTCAGCCATGACTAAACTGTTTCGAATTTATTCAAAGCCCTGATAGAATTTTTGATCAAAATGTTCAGTAATGGTAGCCTGGCACCATTCAGTTCTGGTCTCATGGCAAAGGAAGCAGTTGTTCATGTAGACAGTTAGCTGCACATTCCATATCCTCCTTCTATTCCTGACTCTATCTTTCTCTATTGTTTAGGCAAATAGAGACTAATTCTTCAACCTTGGATGATGGTTTGCAAGCTTTTAAGAACCTAGGCACTAAGCAAAAAACTAGAAGGTAGAACACAAACACTAAATATGTTCTTTTTTCTTTTTTTTTTTTTTACATATACTTGGTCTCATGTCATTGACAAGTTTACCACAATGCAACAGCTCCGCTGCCACTTCCTCCCTATAGTTACCTCTTCTCAGTGTCCATCTCTCCCTACACTCCTGTGCCCTCAGCTGTCTCCCTGTGCATAAGTAGCCCTTCTTTATCCCATGATTATTCTCTCAAAAGAGTGTATCTACTTCAGGTAAATGTTTAACTCATATGCCTGTCTTTTGTTTGGCTGGAAACCACAGGTGTGGGTTCAATTTCCAGACCTGAAGGGCAGCTAGGGGCCATGGTCTCAATGGTTCCACCAGGCTCTATCGGACCAGCAAACCTGGTCCCCACCTTTTTTTTTTTTTCTCCAAATGATTTTGAGTTCTGTTCCACATTGTTCTCCCTCTCTATCCAGGATCTCCTACATAG